CTGTGGTCCTCCCAGCTTCCTCAAAGGAAAGGGCCCACTCCTCACAGGTAGAGACCACAGCAGGTCTTTAGGTTCCAAGCACCCACCGCGTCCAGTGCAATGGAGTACTGGGTACTCAGTAGGAGGTGGGGAAAATACACAAAGAAACTACAGAACTCAGACACTACCTGATCTGAAATCATGACAGCTGAACACAAAATTCTTTTTCTTTTGCTACTGTAAGCCTAAAGAAATGGGCACTAAACTGCAAACACACATAACACACACAGACATGCACGCACACACACATACACACACACACAGGTCACCTACCATCCTTATAGTTATGACACTGGGAATAAACCCCTCTCCCCACTCCATCAGGCCTCCCTCCTACACGGTCCCAACCTGGCCATCCCTTCTGCCCCAACTCCTCGATCTATTTGTTTGATTCTATTGTGATCAGGAAGCAAAAACACAAGTCTGTTATGGTGGTAATTCACAGCCTATGATGAGGTCCACGTTAGCATCCAGCAGAACTAGAGGAATTTCTATGTGACTCTTACTCATACTCAACTTCTCAAACGTAAGCACGTAATAGAAGCTTGTAATAATCTATATGCACAATAATGGCAAAATGTCATCGACAGGACACCTTCAGAAGACCAGCTTCTCATTTTTCACAAATGGAAATAGAGCTTAGGAGGTCATCTGCCCAAGGCCAGAGGGCTGAGTAGGTCCCTCTCACTTCTTGGGCTCTCTGCAACCCTCATGTATGAAGGGAAAAGAAACCATTATTGACCATATGCCTTCAGCTAATGCTTTACACTGGGTACTGTAGGTTCTGACCACCTATGGGATTATAGTTTTTCATTAAAATATCCAACTTGATTTTTTAAAAATACATCATTACCTTTATTGTTGCAATCCTAAATTAGTTTTCCTTAAAACAGTAATATTTCATTTTTACTGTTTATTCATAATTAAAGCAACATTACTACACTGCCAAATTAACCATACCCAATACCTAACACACGCATCATGACTCTATCTGAGCCAGCACCGGCAAAGCAGGCAGCTCTGGCAGCATTGACTTGGTGAGCCTCTGGAACAGACCCTGGGACATGCACCCGCTTCCCCATCCCGAGTAGGAGCCAGGTGTTTGGAGTATCATGGATGGGTCCTCACTCTGAGATCTGACTGCCAGCCTTGCTCTGCTGGAAATACTGGAGGAGGGGGTGTGCAGGGGAGGCAGTGGGGTATCTGGCCACTCTTGAGATTTCTGCTCTTCTCTCACTCAACCTACAGGAAATGAGCCAGGGGCACAGTAGGTGGTTCCACTGGAGAGGGGAGCCCTGCCCAATGGGGCCCAGTGGAAGGAGGGGAAGAGCAGGGGTTAGGGAATTCAGAGCTCTACTGGAAAGGGTGAAGGGTGGGGAGATGGAACACGTGAATAACCAGGTGCAGCAAACCAACCCCAGAGGTGGTGACTAGCCAGGCAGGGAGGGGGAGTGCCCCTCATCCACTTCACCATCTTGGTTCACCCATGCTCAGCAGTCCCTCAAATATATGGTGGACAAATACTGAAAAGAATTTATCAATAAGAGCTTGAGGCTTTGCAGAGTTGGAATCCACAACACTGGAAGCAAGGATCCCAGACAAGAAAAAAGTGCTGTTGGCACAGAGAAGGAGAGCAAGAGTTAGCTCAGTGCAAGAAGGGCCAGGAACCCAAGGGGGGTGACATGTGGGCTGCTCTGCCAAACTCCCCAGCCCCAAAGGCAGCTGCTCAAATTCATTCAATCATATCCTTTAATCAAAACACTCAAGGTACACTCATGTTTTTCTTTCCATCTTAGGATCAAAAGCAGGAAGGGACTTCTAGAATGCAGGCTACAGCTGAACTCATCACTCAATCCCCCAAACACACACACACACACACACACACACACACACACACACACTCTCTCTCTCTCTCTCTCTCTCTCTCTCTCTCTCTCTCTCTCTCTCACTCACTCTGCCTCCATCCATCCATCTCTCCCCACCACCTTCTGGCTAGCCACCATCCCACACAGGGACTATCACCTCTAACATCCTCATTCCTATTTCCCCTCCCGAATCCTTGCACGAATCCCCACTGCTGTTCTCTTAGATATCCCTTGTCCCCTGAATCTGGCCCATCACCCCCTCTACACTGCACCCAGGTAATGTCTCTCAAGGCACAGCCCCAGTAGTGAGTGTCTTGCCAACAAAGCCCTAGCAAGTTACCCTGCCCCGTCCCAAGGCCCAAGCATCAGAGACTGGCCCACAGCCCGGCCTCCGGTGGAGGGAGAGGACTCAGCAGGCTGACTTCCTGCCTTTGCCCTTGCCCTTCCCAGGACAGAAAATTTTCTTTCAACCCTCCTGGGCCAGGAGCCTATTCTGAGTCTTCAAGACCTATCTCACATGCTGTCACCTTCCCTGGACTCTCCCTTCAAATCCCCAGGACATCACTGTAAAGGGTGCAGGTGGCTGCCCTTTCTGCTCCACAGCACATGCTCACTTCAACACCTCCACAACTGGCACAGTCACCCAGTGCCTTACACATGGAATGTTCACTACGAATCTGTGGGAGCAGGTCAGGAGTTTTCTCTTCCTCTTTTCCCAGGTTAAAAGTATGGACACCACCGCACACAGCCATAAAAATCCACATCCCAAGACAAAACCAGACGGAAGCCCTTCATTCAACACATCATCCTGCCCCAGCAGCACGTATTGGCTAATGTGGTTGGCAGACGGGACACCCACTTCCCAATTTATAGCTAAGCAAATGACCATACCACAGTGGGGATGGGACCCGCTGCTTCTCACACCACACAAGGACACAGGTGGGGCTTCCCTGATACGCCCCTCGAAACAGAGCAAAGAAAGCTATACTCACCAAGCCCCTTGGGTAACACACACACTCACGTTGCACACACAAACGTCTGCACGTGCATACACACTGCAGCTCTGCATGCTGGGTCTCTGAGCCATCCTAGCATGTATTTCAAATCCCTCTCCTGTTCTTTCTCTGCTCAACTGCTGGGGGCGGCGGTGGGGGGGCATGGCCGTGGGGCTGAAGTGCACAGATCCAAGCTGCTCTGTTTAGGTCTCTCATGCCCTGAGAATGGGCAAGAGGGTCTTGAATGAGTGCCCTCCCATAAATGAGGGTCCTCACCCAAAGACCCCAACCTTCCCTTCTATGTCACCAGCACAGTTGCCTGTGGCTGCCAGGCTCAACCGTCAGTCAGGATTAGCCTCCTTGGCATGAGACCAGGGCAGAGCAACCAACAGTCCATATTTTACCACAAAACAGACATATGCATTCCCTCTGCTCTTCAGATCGACCAGCAATTCTCAACTGTGAGCACTGCCCAATTTATAGATGGTTTATGCTACAAGCTCCCCAGTGCATCAACAGTTTAGAAAAAGAACAACTCCCCCCCCCGACCCCGAGAACCAGTGGACTGTGTACCAGGTAAGGCTCCAGAGTCAGTCAACAAAAGCTTTTTAATACACTCTGGGCTTGAAATGTAGAGCCTCAAAATGCTTTATCAAAAGACTGAAAGATGCTCCCAGCCAGATTTCCCTACCTGGCTCTGAGACAATAACTCCAAGTCCTCTGTGGAATGCCCAGAATGCATTCCCTCCCCACAGCAGGTCAATGACACCCTGCTCCTCCCCTCACAGATCCTCTAAGGAGATTCACCCTCTGAGGTAAGGCATGTGCTCAGAGTACTCCTGCCCTCCAACTGCTGGGCAGCCCCCCAGCCTTCCATCCATCAGCAGACCTGCCAGGGAGCTATCCCATCCCCTCCCAGGCTGGTGCCGGCACTGCTAACCAGAATGCCTCAGCACTACTCACAGCCCTTCTGGAATTTCTCCTGGCCCAAGTAAGGGCAGCCCTCCTGAGGTCCCTGAGGACTCTTACTCCTCAGAGTACAGTCCATGATTCCCAAGCTGCCTTCTGTGACTTCTCCCTCTTGTTCCCCCAGCAGGAAAGGCAGAAGCCTCCTCAGGCTGTCTCTAACGGGGCAAGGGACAGAACTCTCTCAAGTGTCCTCTGCTGCCCCCTCTCCTGGGGACAATCCCGCCTCAGCAGTCTCCACATCATGAGCAGAGCTGGGGACAAAGAAGGAGGCTGTACTGTGAAGAGGGTGAAGAGGAGAAATGAGAGGAACGAGAAGCCTGCAGGAGGAGGCAGGCCAGGACGGATCTAGGTGGACAAGCCAGAGCCCTGGCACTAATGAGGGGAGCACAATCCAGTGGGAAAAAACATGACAACAAAAAAGGACAAAGTGGCATAAGAGCCACACTAGGAGACTATACATAAGATGTATGTGCGGGGATTCAGGGGAGGCCATGACAGCAGCCTTGGGGAGACAGGGATGCTTCACAGAGCAGGAGGGACAAAGTGGGAGGACAGGCAGGGTTTACCAGTTGCTGAGGGAGCACAAGTACAGGAGGTTCCAACAGCAGGCTCAGGGAGGAACTCTGCCCAGGGTGAGTGTGGGGCTCAGAGGTGGGCCCCACCCAGGGGATGGTGGGACACAGCAAGGGAGAAGCCTACAGGGTGGGGCAGACAGTCAGATTTTGGAACAGAGAGTGGGGTTGCTGCCCAGCAGCACAGAGGAAGACACAATGTTAGCAAGACTGCTCTGGGGGACAGAGCAGAGAGGAGAGAACCCATGGGGCATGAGTGGAGCGCCTCCAGATCTGAGCTAAAGGAAGGGGGACAGGAAGGGGATCCTGGAGAGAATGAGACTTGCCCACTGGGAATCTGGAAGGAGATGAGAGTGAGTCTGAGTCTCCGGCTTACACACCTGAGTGGGAGGCTGATCCCTCCACCAAGGAAACCAACACAGGGTTGGGGGGTGGGGGGCAGTGGCCACTAGGACACCCCCCTGGGAGCCCCAGTCAGTCCTTCCGAGCAGCCCTGGGTGAGTGGCCTGGCTCCATGCCTCAGGGGGCTTCAGTATCCCAATTCAGCATCCCAATCTCACCTGCATCCAAACGTTGTCTGCAGTAAGGTTGTAATTCCCACACAGAAGAAAATGGTCCCGATGAGCTGGCTAGTGGCCCACTGGTCATACCCCACACACATGGCGTCGGCCAGCAAAAAGGGCACGGCTATGGTGCCACTGAAGCACGTCAGGTAGTGCTGTGGATGAAGGAGGTGGTCAGGAAGACAGGAAACCCTTCTTTGTCTCTGATTCTAACTGAACTGCCCCCACCCCAACCCCGCGCCCACCATTATTTTTTTAAAAATGATCCACCAGAAGGATCTCTGGTGCTTGGGGCACACAAGCATACCCTGTGCCAAATCCTCTTTCTTCTTTAGTGTTTCTCCTTTCTGGTATGTTTTCCCGTCTTTCAGCTCACCTGAGTTCAGGCCTGCACAGGTGAGGTTTTATTTATTACATAACTCTGGCTGGGAATATCTGCTTTGTTCAGATGCATTTGTAGCATCAATTGCTAAAATCTGAGATCTTTTTCCTTTAATCTGTTGACATGAATTTTATTTCATGGAACCATTCTTGAAACAAACCCTAGTTAGTCTCACTAGTTTTTTCTTCCGGGATTTGTCAATATTTTATGTGGAATTCTACATCTATATTCTTGAGATAATCAACCGGCCTTTTTTTTTTATTCTCTCAGGTCTGTGGATTAAAGTTACACATGCTTCATTGCTCAAGGTGTTTTCCATCTTTTTAAGGGTCTGGCATTGTTTACCATCAGAGAAGGGTTATGGGTGTATGGTAGCTGTGGGAACCCTCCAGAAAGCACCCATCCCCGACTCCTCCTTTGGGGCCTGGTCCCCAACTTTTTCAGCCCTGGTGGGACATCCCTGGCACTCACTGGTCACACTCCTTCTGTCTGTTCAGCAAACTTCCTACCTTCCTTCCCAAGTTCCCCACCTCTGCTCATGTTTGCCAAAATGGGTTACCTACAGCCCGATGCTCACATACAACACTATTAGGTGTTCCATGTGGGGAACTGCTCACAAGCTTAAGAAGACTCCATATCATCAAGAAAAGCATGACTTATGCAAGATTTCCCGATCCCATTTGCCCAGGGAATACTTCTTTATCAGACATCTATAATATAATCATTTCTAAAGGTGAGTTTCCTGAATCTGATTCAGGGTACTCAGCCCAAGCTAAAGACCACTTCACTCCTTTGGCTATTTGAGTCCTCCTTTATTAGACAACTTCCAGTCCAGGTGACCAAGTGCTTTGAGGCCTGTGTGGAAGGTGCAGGCAGGGGTGCGAAGAGTATTGGAAACTGAACCGAAGCGTCAAAGGTCTCCAGGTACAGCCCCACCCCAAGTGACTACACCTGTCTGGGCAATAGGACCAATTTTCTCAGCATCTGAAATGCCTCAGGTTGAACAGCCCATTCCAACTTGAGAAAGGAAGAAAGGGAAGTCAAGTCAAACCTCAGAAGAGAATCCAGGCTAAAACCACCAACCAGATACAGGCCAGGGGGAAAGGGGCCCCCAACTTATGCCCTTCTCCAAAGGCCCCACTCCAATCCTTAAGTGGCAAAAAGTACTGAGAGAGAGGAGGAAAATACTCAAGATGCATGGGCTCTGTGTCAGCCTGTGTCACCTCCCACCTGGTGCCCCCTTGTCTACTGGCTTACTCACTCTGCTCCCACTGCAATCCACAGCAAACAAAGCTTCTACCACAGCAATGTCTCCCTTCTCTTACAGATAAGGCTGAAACCTCCCACATACATCCTGGCCAACATGGCACTTCTTGGTGTCACCCACGTGTCATGGAACTGACCATGACTGGACTGCAGAAATAGGAATGAAGATCAAAACTTCTCTTCCCTCCCTCTCCTCTTTCCTGTATCTCCATGGTCCTTCCTCCTTCCTGCCGCATCACTCATCTTGCTTGTTCCTTGAACATTTTCCTTCCTCTATTCCCAGGTCAACCTCTTCCTCCTGTTCTTTTCTTCCTTTCGCTACTATGAAATGAATGCTAGCAAGTCCTAGTTATCATTCTTAAAAGAATAATTTGTAATAAAGTCGTCAATAAATAAAAATCAAAACTGAATTTTTAAAGAATTCGGACAAATCAAACGTCTGCTGGGTGGTTACATCCTAAAGGAACCATCTTACCTGTAACCCCAGAAATATGCACAGGTACCAGGGCGGGACATCTTCTATGGTGTAAATCATGTCCGATCTCTGGGGATCTAGACTGCCAGTGCTATCCAAGGTTTCGGCAAGAGAGCTCTGAGAGCGACAAGGAGAAAAGGAATTATTTAATAAAAGTGAAAACCAGTATGAACTCAGCTCAGTACAGGCGGCTGTTACTGAAAAACAACTTTATAAAGTGGGGGCCACTCTCTTTGCCTGCCTCTGATACAATGCTCAACACACTCAGCTAGACAATCTGCCCTCAGAGTTTGGGGGCTCAGTATCCCTTGTCAATGACCCACCAGCAAGAGCACCCAGCTTGCTGGGGACACCCTACATGGAAAGGGTGTCCACAAAGAAATACCCTAGCATGAGCCGTCCTTGAGTGGCACCCCAAAGGAAAAAATGTGATAAAATGCTGAGCACTTTCAAACAGAGAGCACTAATTTGCCCTTTCTGCTCCACCCCATACCTGCAAGGAGAAAGATCTCTATCTTTAAAAAAAAAAAAAAAAAGTCCTACATCCTCTATTCAAAGCACTGATGCTCTGACACAATGGTGAGTGAAAAGAGCAAATTCAAAAAGGACACAGATATGAGGATTCCAATTTTGTTTAAAAACAGACTAATAGGCAGCCCTGGTAGCGCAGCGGTTTGGTGCTGCCTGCAGCCTGGGGTGTGATCCTGGAGACCCAGTATCAAGTCCCACATTGGGCTCCCTGCATGGAGCCTGCTTCCCCCTCTCCCTGTGTCTCTGCCTCTCTGTGTCTATGAATAAATAAATAAAATCTTAAAAAAAAAAAAAAACAGACTAATAAACAGGATGCCTAGGTGGCTCAGTGGTTAAGCGTCTGCCTTTGGCTCAGGTCATGGGATCAAGTCCTGCATTGGGCTTCCTGCAGGGAGCTTGCTTCTCCCTCTGCCTATGTCTCTGCCTCTTTCTCTGTGTCTCTCATGAATAAGTAAATAAAATCTTTAAAAAAAAAAAAAAAGACTAAAGATGTATTTATAGTTTAGGGGACAGTTTTTTTTTTTTTCTCTCTCTCCCCAACCATTACTACAGACTTTTGTGTTGCATGCTTTTTGAGCCAAAATCTTCACAAAGACTGAACACTTTAGGTTATAGTCTGGATGTTTTCAGCCAGTATCTGCATTACTTCTAAGCTAAACAGAAAACTCAAGGTAACCTCAAATCCTCTTACATCTCTTCAAAACTACTCTAGGTTCTAAAACTCTATGAACAATTTCTCAGACTCTGAGAGGCACATTTTTTTTTAAGTCTATTGTAACTTTAAAAAAGAAAAACTAACAGGAAACAAAAGTAAAAGATGCTACAAAAAAAAGGTAAGGATGATGACCATTCTGACTTCTCCAGCCCCACTTATGCCCTCTTATCCATGGATATGGTTCACAGAAAGACACAGACTCCCTGTTTGTCAATCGACTTCCTGTGCAGACGGAGATGGGGATCTGGGGGGCCAAATACCTTGAACAAAAGAAGTGACACAATTCAGCCTCACTTTTTTTTTTAAGATTTTCTTTATTTATTTATGAGAGACACAGAGAGAGAGAGGCAGAGACAGAGGCAGAGGGAGAAGCAGGCTCCACGCAGGGAGCCTGATGTGGGACTTGATCCCAGGTCTCCCGGGATCACGCCCTGGACTGAAGGCAGTGCTAAACTGCTGAGCCACCCGGGCTGCCCACAGCCTCACCTTCTAAAGCCTAAAGGTAAATGTCTGATGTAAGTTGACATTTGAGCTACTCCAAATGAAAACTGAGGCTGACCTTTCAGAAAACTTTTTCTTCCATTCGAAACAATGGATATTGGCGGGTTTGCATTCCTGAAGGACTTAAAATGGATTGCATATGCCTTTTAAAAATTTGTTTGTAGGGATGGTAGAGAAAATACATGCGTGTGAAAAATGTGGTTATGTACTGGTGTGCAAGAAAAGATTAATTCAGCAAGTCTGGGTTGTCCAAGCCCCCACATGTCAAAAAATGGCCCAGTCTTTGCCTGGTAATTGGGAGACAACCTGTGAGTTCTTAGAATATCTTGTTTTCTTCTGTTTTTTAAGGTTTTATTTACTTATTTATTTGAGAGAAGAGTGAGCAAGGAGGAGCAGATGGGGCGGGGAACAGACTCCATGCTGAACATAGAGCCCGACACAGGGCTGAATCACAGCCCTGAGATCATTATTTAAGCCAAAAACAAGAGTCAAGTGCTCTGATAGAATATCCCAGATGCCATGGAATATCCTGTTCTTAAGAGAGTGTCTAGTGATGCCAGGGTGGCTCAGTTGAGCGTCTGAGTCTTGCTTTGGGCTCAGGTCATGATCTCATGGGTCATGGGATATGTCCCATGTTGGGCTCTGTGCTCAGCACCAAGTCTGCTTGAGATTCTCTCTCCCTCTGCACTGCCCCCCACAACTCTCACAAGCTCTCGCTCTTAAATAAATAAATCTTTTAAAAAGAAATAAGCTTTTAAAAGTCAGAACAGAACAAGGAAAATAATATAGGAATTAATCAAAAAGAAAAAATTCCAAAAACTAAAGGGTATGTTTGCAAATTAGAAGACCCACAAAGAGCAGCCTCGGTGGCTCAACAGTTTAGTGCCACCTTGAGCCTGGGGCCTGATCCTGGAGATCCGGGATGGAGTCCCACGGAGCCTGCTTCTCCCTCTGCCTGTGTCTCTCATGAATAAATAAATAAAATCTTTAAAAAAAAAAAAAAAAAGACCCACAAAGTACTCAATGAATTGATGAAAAACTATTTAGATATTTTGGAAGGCAGTCATGCTTACCACCATACCACCAATGTTGCTCAGACTCAGACATTTTCAAAACTCAATAAAACAATCAACTGTATTAAGAAAAACCTTATGGGATCCCTGGGTGGCTCAGCAGTTTAGCACCCGCTATCAGCCCAGGGCGTGATCCTGGAGTCCCAGATGGAGTCCCGCATCAGGCTCCCTGCATGGGGCCTGCTTCTCCCTCTGCCTGTGTCTCTGACTCTCTCTGTCTCTCATGAATAAATAAATAAAATCTTAAAAAAAAAAAACCTTAAAACAAGTTTAAGAGCAAAGGGAAATAGAATATGTTGACAGAATTTGGATAGAATTTTTTTTTTAAAAAAAGGAATAAATAGTGGAAGTGATAAGAGCACAAGAGAAAACAAACAAAGAGAAAACAGAGTAAGGGTCACAGGCTGGAAGTAGGCGGGGAGGGGCATCAAACCATGTAAGAGAAAAAAAAAAGATTAGAGATAAAGGACAGCCAGAGAAGGCAAGCAAAGGAGATTCAAAATATATCTCATTGGAGCCCCCAAATAAGAAACTAAAAGAACAGACTAAAACAAAAAATAAAGACAGAATTCAAGAAAGCTTTCCTAGAGTAACTGGACCTTTAATGCTAAATACTCCCAAGTGCCAAAAAATCCTGACCCAGAATAGTCAACATCAAAACATACCTAAGTTAAGTTACTGAATATCAAAGATAAAGAATCCAAAATACAGGCAAAAAAATCAAGGTGCTGATAAAAAGAAGAAAACAAAACTGACCTGATATCTTCAAAGCCACAATCAATACCAGAGAATGAAAGAGTAGCAACAAAAAGGTATGTCTCAATTATTCTCTTAAGTTTGTATTACATAAGGCAGCCCGGATGGCTCAGCGGTTTAGCACCACCTTTAGCCCAGGGCATGATCCTGGAGACCCAGGATCAAGTCCCACGTCCGTCGTGCTCCCTGCATGGAGCCTGCTTCTCCCTCTGCCTATGTCTCTGCTTCTCTGTGTTTCTCTCATGAATAAATAAAATCTTTAAAAAATTTTGTATTACACAATTTTCCATACGTGTATAAAAGTGGAAATATGGAATGCCCACCCCATCTCTCTCTCCAGCTTCAAAAATAACCTACACTGTGTTCTTGTTTAATCTACTCCAAGAGAATCTCCTTTTACAAGAACTACTAGTATCTTAATTTTAAAGAGAATCCACAAGGATTGAAAGTTTAAAGGAGGTCTTTAACTTTATTTTTTTTTTTAATTTTTATTTATGATAGTCACATAGGGAGAGAGAGGCAGAGACCTAGGCAGAGGGAGAAGCAGGCTCCATGCACCAGGAGCCCGACATGGGATTTGATCCAGGGTCTCCAGGATCACGCCCTGGGCCAAAGGCAGGCGCCAAACCGATGCGCCACCCAGGGATCCCGGTCTTTAACTTTAAAAATAAATTTCAACATTATGGAAATAAGTTGATCTTCTATTTAACAAACTTGGTGACAGCTGTTGAAACAATGGGGAGCTAAAGAACCCAGTGCCAAGCCAGGTGGGATATTCAAGTGGTACACGTTGAACTATGCAAGTGAACTAGTTCACTTGGGACTGTTTTCGCATTTTGGCAATCTCTGCTTCCTAAAAGCCTCAAGCTATCCTCTGTGCAAGGGCCCTGGGAAGTTACGTGTTGTCATACCCCATTTTACAGATGAGGGGGTAGAGACACTGAGGGACTGAGTGAGTGACTCAAGAGTTGAACACGAAGACTGCATTTGCCACCATGCTACATGGCCTCCCAAGAAAAACAGGGCTGCTCTTTAGAAATTACCAGAAACTGACTTTCTGAAATTGTGATTAACAGTGATTTGCCAATACCACTGCAACTACTTCACATGATTCTGTAAACATATTTTGTGGGGAATCTGTAAAACAACAAAATGCTGATATTTCTAAACCGTTTACTTGTAGTTACTTCATCCTTGTTCCAAATACCCTCACTATAAACAAAGTTCAATTCCCTCAGCATCCCTCACTGAAGAATCCCAATAGTACTGAGGTCAAGTTCAGAATGTACTGGGCATGGGTCCCAGTGCTATCTTACAGATTCATGGTTCATGACTCAAGGCATTATCCTTCTGGTCCTTTCAGAAATAAATCCCTTTGAGTATATTCCAAGATGGGTATCTTGTAGTTAACACCATATTAACCAGCATTTATCATAAGGAGCTCAAGAGTATTAAGAGATACCAGAAGTTTTATATAAAATAAGTATTTGAAAACTAACAGCTCACTATAATTAAGAAAACATGAATATGGAGAATATATGTGGGATGATCTTCTCTGGCCCCTACTCCTCCTCTCCTGCAAGGTTTCATTGTTAATTCAGTCAGGTGTTCAGAGACAGCCTTTCAATGCCCTCTAAAAAGCAAGACCCCCGGGGTGCCTGGGTGGCTCAATCAGTTAAATGTTCACCTTCAGCTCAAGTCATGATCCCAAGGTCCTGGGATTGAGCCCCACATCAGGCTCCCTGCAATGGAGATCTGGTTTTTCCCTCTCCCCCTGCTTGTGTGTGCACTCTCGCTCTTGCTCGCTCTCTTTCTCTCTCACTCATTCTATCTCAAATAAAATTAAAAATTAAAAAAAAGGGGCAAGATCCCAAAGGGCAGCATAAAGTTTTCTTTGCATGAATTCAAGACAGCAGAAGACCGAAATTTCATTTTCTTTTTCTCTAAAACAGAGACAGTGGTAGCACCTCTCTAATCAGGTTTCGGTGAGGGCTAAATGTGACCCGCTCTTTGAATCATACAGCCCAAAGCCTGGACCATTTAGCATCATTCAATACATGGTAGCTCTTCTCTCCAAACTTGTCATTTCATAAAATCAGCCAGTTAAACAGGAAGATACCCTATATCACTAGCATCCAAGGAAATACTAATGTATCAAAGTTTAGACAGTGAAAAAGATTTTCAAACAGGTAAGTGTCTAGCATAAACGAGACAATAGTTCACTAGCCATCAGTAAAAAGTACTGCTATAGATGTTAAAAAGCCTTCAGTGTTAATGCTCCTTGCTATTCATTTCAAAAGATGATCATCATTTCCTGGATAATGGAAGTCTAAAATCATGACAGCCTATACCCTGGAAATTCTGGTGACTCTGATAAAGGACCCAGTATGCATAAATTGGATACTGCTAACAAGGCTGTGAATTCAGAAGTGGACTGCAAGATATACCACTCGGATGCTGAGACCCAAGGAGGCCAGTTGGTCGCTCCCTGCCCAGATCCGTCTCTGTGGGCTGTGTCTCAGCTGCAGAGGTAGGCACTCACATGTCAACATGTCAAAAGCCGCTACTTCAATTCCTGCACTCTGAGGAGCACCTCAGAATCCAATAACACAGGAATTTTAACATCTCAACATGTCTAACTGGCCTCCATAAAATTTATAATCAGTTGACCAAATTTATAATACCTCAACCAAAAAGCAATATTGGTCAAGATGGCCAAAATGGAAAAAAAAAGAAACTACACATATTCCAGAATTTCAATATAGTCTCCTTGTTCTTTATCGTTTTAGTGATTACACTATAAATTTATGGTGCTAATTCCTAAGCTGGGTATTATATTTGCATGTATCAACTTTCTAATAGTCTGTTTCTAGAATATTTAGTGCACATTAACTAAAGTACAACCAGGGGCACCTGGCTGGCTCAGTCAGTAGAGCATGCAGTTCTTGATCTCAGGGTTGTGAGTTCAAGCCCACAGTGGGTATAGAGCTTACTATAAAAAAAAGTACAATACAGTGGTTCTAGAATATAATGCTTCATTACAAAAACGGATTAGATTTTCACAGTGAAAATAAAATGTGCTTTAAAATTTAAAAGTCTACCAAATAGGAGTGGCCTAGTAGCCCAATTTTTTAAGCATCCAGCTCTTGATTTCAGCTCAGATGGTGTCTTGGGGTCGTGGGATCGAGCCCCAAGTCAGGCTCCACACTGATCGATCATGGAGCCTGCCTAAGATTCTCTCTCTCCTTCCCCCTCTGCCCTGCCCTCCTCTCTCTCTAAAAAATAATAAAAGTCTATCAAATAAAACTCAAATGAAATTGAGAAGTCTTAGAGCTGCCATGCAATCTAGAAATACCCTAGAATCAAACTTTTCATGTAATAGGCATAGTGATTGATAAAGATTAAAAAAAAAAAAATCAATCAAGGCATCTAGATCCTCCTTGGGCAGGCCTCTCCTGGCCTCTGTGAATAAAGTCACACAAACTGACCCCAAGGAGATGAGGCAAAAAAAAAAAAAAAAAAAAAAAAAGAAACCTTCTCCCACCTCAGCATATGATTTCCATCATTCTGTTCGTTATCACAGTCTACGTAAGCTATCTAACTGGCTTCTTTTATTCTCATTTACTGCAACAGAGTACGTACAAGGCACAACACTAATATTACCTATGTTATTATTTTGTTTAAACCTCAGAACTGAACAGATGCTGACAATTTTTTCCTCCCATTTTGGAGATGAGGCAACTGATGCCCAGAGAGCTTAAGCAACTCCCTCGGGATCTGGGTCACATTAGCACCCAGACCTGAGTCCAGACTCCAACTCTGAACCACCTCCCCCTCAGCATACTGGCTGAGGCCTTTAAAAACAAAGACTTCTATATAGGTCTCACCTTAATTGCCATCAAGACAATTAAAAATTAGTCACTGCGGGGATCCCTGGGTGGCGCAGCGGTTTGGCGCCTGCCTTTGGCCCAGGGCGCAATCCTGGAGACCCGGGATCAAATCCCATATCGGGCTCCTGGTGCATGGAGCCTGCTTCTCCCTCTGCCTGTGTCTCTGCCTCTCTATCATAAAATAAAAATAAAAAAAATTAAAAAAAAATTAGTCACTGCTACTCCTCATCCATTTCCACCATGAAGAGAACACACCCACTCAGGAGGGTTGACACAAGCCCCCAGGAAGGATAGCCACACCCTGCAGGGGGCCTGGGAAACAGGAGAGGCTGGAGCAAGGAGGTACCTTTTCTGCAATGCCATTTTCTGTCGTGTAGATTGCCATGAGCTCAGTGTCTTCATTGTCCTGCTCACCGCTGGACGTGGCACCTCCATTTATCACCACCTGCCAAGAAACAAAATCATTTACAGGCTGTTTCACTGTATACCATGCACTGCACAGAAACATTCTCCCCAGACGCCTTCTGTAATTTTTCTAACAGACACAAGCTGTGCATTTTTTGCCTACCAAATCAGCCAAGTTTCTAGTTTTCTTAAAGGAAATTCTGGGCACGTGTGCACTGCATCAGCAACTGTGTGTGTGCTTCTGACAGGGGAGAAATATACCACGAGTCTCACAAGGGGAGGCCCGAACTGGAGCACCCACAGAAAGCCAGGGGAGCAGGGCCTGCAGCACCCTCCAAGGCCAAGGAGGCCTGGCTGGGTGCCAAAGCTGTGTCTGAGCGAGGGAGAAGCATCCTGAGCTGCCTTGGTCATGATCTCTCCCAAGTCACATGATGACAACTCTGTGCTGTGGCACGTCTGCCTGCCCCCCTCCCCACCAGCAACTCCGCAATCCTGATCGCCTAAGATGCTGACATTTCCCATCATTGGTTACTGTACAAACTAGCCTCCTGGTACATGTAGGCATTAACAGGTGGCACTGGACAGGCAGCCTGGGGCTATTCATACTGACACAATCTAGTTTCTGGGCCCTCAAGGTAAGGAGAACTTTTTTTTTTTTTAAAGATTTATTTATTCATGAGATACAGAGGAGGAGGGGGAGGGGGAGAGAGGGAGCAAGGGAGCAGCAGGCTCCATGAAGGGAGCCTGACGTGGGACTCGATCCTAGGTCTCCAGGATCAGGCCCTGGGCTGAAGGCAGGGCTAAACCGCTGCGCCACCAAGGCTGCCCAGGCAGAACTCATTCTGAAGAGTGGAGGCAAACCCCTGGGAACCTGCAGATTACCACCCCTTATGCGTGCCCTGGTGAGGCACATGGAATCATCTTAGGTCCTGGAAGCCTGTAGCAAAAATCTTAAAATATTTTACCCTTTAGCCAAACGGCTCCATTTCCAGGAACCCATCTTGAAAAATCAATGCTGAAAATAACTATGCATGAATAATAGCACAACTGCATTTTTAAGGTACAGAGAAAAATCGACAAAGTACATAAAAAGTTTAAAATCTGGGGATCCCTGGGTGGCTCAGAGGTTTGGCGCCTGCCTTTGGCCCAGGAGGCGATGCTGGCGTCCTGGGATCGAGTCCTACGTCAGGCTCCCAGCATGGAGCCTGCTTCTCCCTCCTCCTGGGTCTCTGCCTGCCTCTATCATAAATAAATAAATAAATCTTTAAAAAAAAATTTAAAATCTGGTATTGTAAATAAAATATACTGAAAAGAAGAAAAAGATGAGTGATGGCTTAAAAGAAGGTCTAGCCACAAAGGTCGGCATCAATAGTTTATAAAGAACACCCACAAATCAATAAAACAATCCACAGGAAACGGGCAAATGACAGAGGTCTACAACTCACAGGAAAAAATTTAAATATCTAAAACACATGATAAGCTGTTCAACCTCATCTAAAATTATAGAAAGGAAATTTTTAGGAATTTTCATTTTTTTTAACATAAATTAGGGGGATATTTTAAAAGATGAATCCAGTGTTGACCAAGATGTAGGGAGAAAGCTACCTTGAGTTATCTAAGAGATATGCGGCCCCTTGTGGAGGGTAATTTAGGACCAGAAGAAAAGGGGCATTTTCTTGGATCAAGCAATTGCACTCATAGAAACTTATCTTCCAGGAATATCCACGCAAATGGTATATGCATTCAAGACTGATGACTGATTAAAAAAAAAAAAAAAAAACTGATGACTGATACTTAAAATGCTGAATCCCTGGAAACAAACGTTCATAAAAAAAAAAAGACATTAAACCAATGGAGAAAAAAATAAATACAAACATCGTGAGATTATGGGATATCCATTTCAAAATTAATGTTGGGACGCCTGGGTGGCTCAGGTTGAGCGTCTGCCTTTGATTCAGGGCATGTTCCCGGGGTCCTGGGATCAAGTCCCACTTCAGGCTCCCTGCATGGAGCCTGCTTCTCCCTCTGCCTGTGTCTGCCTCTCTGTGTCTCTCATGAATAAATAAATAGAATCTTAAAAAAAAAAAGTTAGTGAAAAAGATTAAAAAGCCATTAAAAAAGAAAAAAATAATGTGCTGACAAGGAAAGAACTCCCAAAAAATACTTTTTCTTGAAAAAGTCATAAAACAGTAAGTTTAGAATTATCTTAACTATGCTTTTAAAAAAAAATCGTAACAATCTGCCTGTTTGAACACTTGAGAAAGGATGCAGAAAGGCCCCAGACCAACAATAGGAAGGTTGCCCTAGGCACAGGCACTCCTTTGATATTTTCACTCCCAATCCTCCTTTAACATTTGGGTCTTTTATAATCGGCATGTGTTTGTATGTTATTTGTATGCTGCTTTTTTAAACAAACAATAAAAAAGGTGTCCACCAGAATATTAACCATGGTTATCTTTAATCAGGGGGCCATTTTCACCTTTTTCTCCTTCTCTATTTTGGGAATTTCCTATAATGAGGACAACTTCTTTTTACAAGGGTGAAAAAATTATAAAGACTAAAGATCTAATAATAAGCAGCATAGCTCAAACTGAGGAGGTCCAAACACCCTTCAATCCATTTGTTTTTTAATAGTTGAAGAAATCAGTGAAAAATTAAACTTTTCATACAGGTTAATAACCCAAGTGTGAGGCTAATTTTAAAGTATGCCAGAGAGCTCTACCAGGGCAGTATTTCCTTATGGCACTACAGATAAAGATTTCCAGAACTACCTCTTAAGTCACGTGATAGCTTTTGACACAAGTTACCTGGGTTTGGGGCATTTGTTTGCCCGTAAAACCAGCTGCCAGCAAGATGGACTTTCCCAGCCAAGTTCAGGTCCACAACAGGAAACTCTAACTTACTATTAGAACCATGCTCCAAGTCCTAGCACAGCAGTGCTCAGCCCACAGAGACGCCAAGACGTATACACACTCAGGATGAACTCTCTTGTAACAATAATGCTCAGTTACTAAGTCATCAAAGAAACCCAGATCTGATCCAAAGTCCTATCCTGGCTAGAACTCACCTTCATCTGCATTCACCGCCAGCCGCCGCAGGGAACAACTGCTCCGTGGGCGCAGGGCTTCTTTTCAGGGTGATGAAAAGATTTTGGAACTAGGCAGAGGTGATGGTTGCACAACACTGTGAATGTGTTAAATGTCACTGAATCGTTTGCTTTAAAATGGCTAATTTGTGTGAATTTCACCTCGATGACTTTTTAAAATTCATATGCTGGCACCAAACAGGAGCCTTTGGCAGGATTTATTAATTCCCACGCCTTTTTGGACTTATTCCATACACACACTCACCAGGAGATAAGTACCAAAAGATGCGAATGCTTCCCAGCCCAGGCAAAGGCTCACATATTCACTTGATGAACTCCATTGGTGCACCTGCTGTGCCCAGGCAATGAAGAGGCAGTCCTGCACCTCCTCCAAGAGCACTGCCTGGAGTGGGGGGTCAGGCTAAGAAATTCTGACAGGACACAAGGCCCTAGCAGGGAGCCACGGAGCAGCGCCAAGCACAGGCCACTCAGATTGCAATGGGAGAATGGAAGGGCGAGGTGCAGTAAAGGGCACGGCGATGGGAACAGAGGCTGCTACTGGGTACTGAAGACAGTGTTCTGGATAAGGTAGTCTGGTTCAGGAGAGAGCAAGGATGTGGCCCTAATGGCCCCGGAGCCTGCCCAGATGGGAGCACAGCATCACAGCTGCTCAGGGTAGGTGCCCGGCAGGTGGGAAAGTATCCAGGCTACTGTGAGTTCAATTACCTAGGTGCCTGGGTGGATGTCCCCAAGGAGACGGTGCAGGGAAGGGCAGAGAAATAAACTGGTACAAGGGCCAGTTTGGATTTGTAAGCCAATCCAAAGGTGTCTGATTCACAAAAATCAATCACTTACTTTACCAGGCCAGGGCGAGATGTTTACTTAACTATAAATATTATTGACCTAAATAACCTAACCATGATCTCTAACATATTTTCACAGGTCAAGCCATCCTCGGGGACCTCAGAGCCCACCTTCCATCCCCATCAGCTTCCTGTTCCAGAGTTGCACTGCTGCCCTTTACCTGTGCCAACCTCATCCCCAAAAGGAGAACATGTCTAGCTCCAGCACTCCAACAACATCCTGGGGCAATGTAAACAAGCCTGGAAGGCAGGGGGGTGTTCTGGAGCAAGCGGGGGATGAACCAAGTTCCTACCGAAGGGAGAGAGGGGGACCTGGCACCAGAGAAGCAAAGCTGACAGGAGATGGGGACATGCCCACCAGGGTGCCCTCTGACCTGCTGCCTCCACTGTGTGTGTGTGCAGAAAATGACCAAACACTATTGAAAAAACAACACTGGTTTTACTGTTTCCTCTGGTCTATTAAATTAGCTATTCTGATGATCTGTATGTTTTTACAATGGGAAATTTTTAAAAATTAGACGTTAAAATCTGTTCTTCAGGAAAAGCACTAAAAAAAAAACAAAAAAAAAGGAAAAGCACTGACTTTAAAAGGATAAAAATAATGTTGCTGATACTATCAAAGCTTCATATTTTTGAATCTCTAAATATTATTTCAACTGAGAAATAAAACATGACTGGGAAACTTCTTAAATATAATAAGGCAGGTTTTATTTTGTGTTATTAATAGCATGGCAGATAACAGGATCTTGGAATCTTTCATCTTAGGAAACTGATCTAGTATTTAAAAAAAAAAAAAAACATTATTTTTGGGAACAAGATGTCCTTTCTCCCCCCAAAACTATCTGAAAACAGACTTGATGGTTTTAATTTTTTTCTGCCAAACCAATAATGTATAATCACTCCATCAGCTGTGAAGCAAGCAGCTTTTCTCTGCCTACATTTGTCCAGCTGATGGCTGGTTCCCAATTTGCAGGGCTCATGTTGTCTTTGTGTAGGAGGGTAGGTCCACTGCTCAGTAAACACATCTTTCTTACTCGTGTGTTTTATTTCCAGTAAACAAAGATAATAATGCTAAAATGCTGGTTTCTAAAC